AGCAGGTGCTGGGGGGCAGCACCATGTTGCTCTAGCTTCAGGATTTGCCCCAAAGGTGAGAGAAGGTAAGTCCTTGCAGTTCAGGAGAGCAACAGGAAGTATTCCTTTCAACAGAAGACATACTAGTCTATTCAAGACGCCATGTTAAGAAGCAAAGGTTTTTCTTCAAAATTATTTATTTTATAGAAAGACAAAACATCAGTACTACAAACGGTATGCAACTCGTGTGCTTAGGGAAGATGTTCACCATCTTTTTTGTGTAAACTCCTGCTATTCAACAACTTTATCCAACTTTTTTCCTGCCACAGTAAAGTCTAAACGTGCTTCAAACAAGGATCAATTAGTGTTATCTAAGCACTTCTTCACAGAAGAAAACTGAAAACTTGACCAGACAAATGGTAAAAACTCTTATTCCCTGGAGGTACCCAGTGAAATCCAAAACTGAACACTTAACTGAATAAACAGTACAACTCTTTTTTCCCCGTGCTAGCCAGTAAAATCCAGACAGAGGTCAGGATCGTGGGAAGTCATCTGCAGATAGATGCGTCGGGATAGTTCCGGCCCAATGCGCCGGCAGGTGGCCGTCACCCCCTCCCCACGGTGCACAGGGATATTGGCCAGCATGTTCTCCCGCTCCTGGTCCGAGGAGCACCTCTCATAGGCCTAGAAGTAACACAAAGGCAACAATGGGGTCACCCGCTTGCATCCATTGCTCAAAAAAACAATCAAAGCTATGCACCTGCACCTGCTCTGCCCTTCCACGTTTTCCACTCATTTTTCACCTGGTCTCTGCCCAAATCCCATCTGTGAGCTTGGAGAGCAGAGCCAGTGCTGCTGTTTCATTGGGAAGCCATTACAGTGGATGCCAAGGAATCAGTTCCTTCGCTAACTTACTGAACTGCTCATGCAGAATCACTAATTTAATACTGATTAAATTACTTCTTCCACTCCCTGCATGAGCCGGCTGCCTGTACACAGTGCTGGGTATCCCTGAGGCATCCTCACCTGGATCAGAAGCTGAGGAGAAGGGTAGGCAGACACAATAGCCTCAGCCATCTCAGAGTTGACACGGTTAAGTTGCTGTAACTGCCTCTTCCAAACTTTCAAGAGACCCTTTCCAGAAGAATCCACCTTCACCCCTTTGCAACAGTCCTTCTCCAAGTACAAAGAGAACCCTGTGTTCTCTCGCTCTCGCCTAGGGAGTACAAGGAATGAGGAAGCAAATGAGACAATGAGGCTGTGAAGAAAATCCTGTCCCACCATCTGTAGTCACAGAGCCAGTGTGCCCTCCCTCACCTGAGCTGTCAGACGGATCAAAGGAAACATGAATAATTTGACTCTGTTTTCTTTACAAGGAGTACCAACTTTAAGACCCAGATTGCTACTGAAAAAGAAACAATCCTGTACTCAGCAGCAATCTTGACACAAGCAAACTTGCAGACAAAGTGGTAAACAAGAATTCACCTTCTGGCCATCAACCATAATAAAGCACTTCTAGATGTCATTTTAAATGACAGCTCATCTCTTGTCATGGATGACATGAAAACCCTGCAGCTGCTGTGACAGGAAAGCCAGCATTGCGTGAGACTGCACAAGATGGTTTTCTTAACTATCACTATGCTGGCCTCTGTAATCCATGGAAAGAGTCAAGTGGTTCATTCTCAGGTAGGTCTCTTGGTTACACACTCAAGAAAAACTGGCATTCTAATAGCCAACCCTACTTGCATTCCCTTCCCACTCCAAAAATCTGACCCAGAACAAGAGCTCTTCTTGATGTCAAAGCTCCAGTGTGAAACCTGAAGGTGGTGAGGCACCAGAACAAACTGCCCAAAGATGCAGATACCCAAAGAAGTTGTGAATACTCTGTTCCTGGAAGTGTTCAGGCTGGATGGAGTGCTCAGCAATCCAGTGTAGTGGAAGGTGTCCCTTCCTGTGGCAGGGGGTTGGATTAGATCATCTTTAAGGTCTCTTCCAACCCCAATCAGCCTGTGACTATGAAACCAGGGTCTATCCTGACCCCTCTGTGGGCAGGACATCCATTTCAAGAACAAGTCCTGTGTTGAAGGAGCTGCAATAGCAGATGTTCTGTCACCTGCACCTTTGAGAACCATTATTCCCAGTGTTGTACCTGCTATCCCTTCCCAGTAGCTGAAAGTGCAGCCTCTCCAAAGGTAGGGCCAAACCTCCTCTGCTTACTCACTTGTATGGTGCCTCAGCCACAGCCTTTGTGAACATAGTGGCATACTCCCCAATCTCCTCACTGCTCTCAAAAATGCTGACTTGGACTTGTGTGCTCAGCTGCAGATCCACCAGGGCCTGTATCACCATTGGGAACAACAAATGGCACAATCAGTCTTGTTGCATCAAATTCCATTTTTGTCTGGAGCATAAAAGGGTCACAAACATCCTGCTGTAAAACAAGAACCTTCACTCTCTCTCCATTTTGGGAACAGTTAACTTAAGACACTGATGTATTTAGGGGCAGGCTGTCTCCTGACAGTTAATATCACCTCAGTGTCCTCTGAGCTGCCTCAGCTCCTCTGTGGCTCTTGTTATGAACAGGCCACCACCAGTGGGCTTTGCCAAAGGGCCATGAAGGGCAAGAGGTGGTGAGACTGACATCAGTATCCAGGTGAATGCGACACAGGAGTCTGTGTGGGAACAGCAATGTGACTGAGCAGTAGGGAACTGACCCCAGAGCTCTGCCCACAGACTGATGGCCTAATGAATAATGAAAGCCAGACTCCCACCCACAAAACTGTGTGACTGGGTCAATTGTTCAAATACTGGGAGACAAGAGATGATGGCTGCATGTGTTTTAAAACCACTCACTTCTTTCACATCCATTCTGGATAAGTCCAGGCCACAATCCTTAACCTGTTTTTTTCTCCTTTCTCCACGTTTCTCTTGATTCCCACTTGCTGCTGCCTGTCGCAGCCTTTGTTTTGGCTGAACTTGGAGAGACCTAAAAAGAGTAAAGTAAGACTGGGGTGACAGTCTGGATGGACCTTTGTTTCTGTTTCTGTGTTAAAATTGGTGGAACAGTTCTGGGAATACCTCTTAGACTCCAGTCTTTGCTAGAAGGAATTAACATAAACACCTATGGAATTTTTCAAGGCCAGAGAAAACACAGAAACATTTGGAAGGAAGAAGTCTGACCTGAAATAATTTTCTACTCCAACTACTGCCAGAGCCAGAATTCTCCCAGGCATTTTCTCCATAATATGAGCTACATAGCTCTGCAGGGTCTCCTTCTGCCTTTCTGCACAGCCATCAGCATTCTACAAAGATGAGTTGGAAAAATAAGGAGTTAAACCATTTTTAGGTATACAGAGAAGCACAGCAAATTATGGCCCTGGTTGTAGGTCTGCAGAGACTTCAAGTTCACCCTTGCTCTTCAAGGCAAGCAGGCAATACTTGATCCCATGTAAGGTTAGAGCAGAAAGAAGGAGAAAAAGTTAAACCCACTTGATATTACTCTTCAGAGGAATGTGTGAAAAATTTTAACTAGCAAAGACAGCTTGTCAGAACTTTACATTATACAGCCCATTAGTGGCTTCTACACCCAGATTTCTGTTTCAGTGAAACCCTGCATTCCTCCCACACCAAAACCTTCCTGCCACTAAGAGGGATGCTAAAACACCCGTTTTACATCAAGGCATTTTCAGGAGCAAAAAAGTCATAAGCATTCTCACTTGCTTGTAGTTGTGAACCATGGACAAAAACTCCTCCAAGCCAAGCAGAACCAGAACATTTGGTTCTTCTGTCCATTCATCTCCTCCTCCCATCTGTTCAGATATGAAAACAAACAGGCCACAGTCTGTTTAGAATTCTCTCAGACTCCCACTCAAACCTCTGAGCAGGGAGATTAGAGGGTGCTCACTTGAGTTGCTAAATAAAATTACTAACGACTGCAAATAACACATGAGGAAAAGGACAAGATTATCAAAATTTTGCTCACATACCTGTGATGTCACTGTCTTTCTCCTCCAGGTGATGCTGCAGGGAACAGCGTGGTTCTCAAACACACAGGAATAACTGGCAGCCTGCAAAGCACTAAGGATCTGCTCGCCACCTTCTACCTGTAAGATGACTGAAATCGATGCACGGGTCAGGCCCCCAGAGAGAGGAGACAACAGTCAGTACAAGGCAGCTGCAGGCTGCGAGGACAACTACCTGGATCTAGCACCACTGTTATGTATTTCTGGCACTCTCCTGGCCGCTGAGCTTTCAGCATCTTGGCAATGACTCTCTTCCTCTCTTTTTCCTCTTCCTGCTTCCCTTTCTTTGCTTCTTGCTCCTTCCTTCTCTGCCACGCATTCTGGCAGATTGCCTCCCGTTCCTTCTGACTATATTGTCGCTTCTTGAGAGGCAGCGATGTTTCTGGCCTTTCTCTGCTGGCCGGGGAGCTACTAGGCCTGTCAGAGTCGACTGGCAAGGAGCACAGGGAGGATCCCGCAACACCGCGTGTACCATTCTCACTATCACAAGCTATTTCTTCAGACGGCGTCACGTCTTCCCAAAGCTCTCCGCTCCCAGGAGCCACCAGGTGATCACTGGCACAAAAAACCCCAGATGCCTCTTCTTTATCACCAGCGCCCAGGTTGAAAGGGTCAGGCCCTGTCTTCACCATCATCTCGACCGTCTCATGCAAAGGGACTACTTCCATCGCCTCCTCATCCACCTCTTCGCCCTCGCTGCTCACTATCTTGACAACCTCTTCCGCTTCAGGATCAGGAGATGGCGACCGCGGGCGGCTGGGCTCGCCGAGGCATGGGGACGGCTGCAGCAGGTAGGCGAAGGAGGGCAGGCGCTCCTCGTCGCTGCTCTCAGTCCCGGACTCGCTCTCCGCCATCTCCCCCGTCCCTTCGGGGGCCCCGCGCCCGCCTGAGGGCAAAGCCCGCGCCGGCCGCTGGTTGGGCCGGAGGCGCGCGCAGCGGGCGGTGATTGGCCCGAGCGCTGGCGGCCGCGCGCGCTCGGGCCAATCGCCGCGCAGCGGGGGAGAGGCGGGGGCAGCGGAGCGGACAAGATGGCGGCGCTGGCGCGGCTGCGTGAGTCCGGAGCTGTGGGGGCTCGGCGCCCTCCGAGCGCTGGGCAGCGGCGGGAGGGATGAGCCGGGGACACGGCGCCCCAGGGGGCTCACCCCGCCCCAGGGGGCTCACCCCGCCCCAGGGGGCTCACCCCGCGGGATGTCGCGCCCCCAGTGGGACGTCACCACCCAGGCTTTCGCTTTGGCCTGGAGCTGAGGCGGAGCTGTGGTGATGGGCGGGTTTGTGTATGTGAAACTAACTATACTTCGTCTTTTTCTAATTTCCTGTTAATCGTCAAGTGTCGCAGGCTTTAATTTGCCTAATGGGCCGTATCCTGAAGTTAATGGGGTTTTGTACCCTTTCCCCAACAGTATTTCTTAGAATTATGGACAGGCTTGGGTTGGAAGGAACCTTAAAGGTCATCTTGCTCCAATTTCCTGCCATGGGCTGGGACGTTTCCATTAGACCAGGCCCCATCCAGCCTGTGCGGGAACACCTCCAGTGGTGGGACATTTCCAGCTCAATGTGCATCCGTCGTGATTTAATTAAATTAAATTAGTGGTTTTGCTCAGGCTAAGGAAACAACATAATCACTCTTCTGCACTAACCTGCTGCTTAGCGGGCTAAGTAATAGGATTCAGAAAAATTAGGTTTGTCTCCTAACTGCATGAGAGGTGGTACTGTAGAGATTTTTAAGATAATGATGACTTGGGTTGGGAGGGAACTTAAAGATCACCCAGTTCTTACCCCTTGCCATGGGAAGGGACACCTTTCACTAGACCAGGTTGTTCCAAGCCCATATTCAGCCTGGCCTTAAAACACTTCCCTTAAACTGGGATGATTAATGGAAAAAACTGTGCTCCAGACTCCCTTTTTGCCACTCCCAGGGCTCTATATTCCTTCTTAGATCCTTTAATCATAGAATTACAGAATCATTAAGGTTGGAAAAGTCCTCCAGTATCAGCAAGTCCAACCTTTATGCTCCTTCTGGATACTCCTCAGATTGTTTCTGGCTGGTCATAGATGTTTATATATTTTCCAGAATTGTAATCTGCTCATTTGTAAGATTTCAGGATGTAACTGTGTAAGTAAATGCCATTTGGTCAAAGGGGAAACTGAACTCACAAACCATCTTTTCTCAAAGCACTGTAAGAGCAATTCACAGCAACCAGTGACATCTGTGCTGCATTTTACAAGAATGAAAGAGGAATTTGTGCACATCATTTAACATGGTTGCTGAGAGTTTTATTCTTACCTGGGCAGCAGCAGCAGCACTTGAGATGTGGCCTTTTTTCAAGGAATTTAGGCCATTTTGGTCTAATTTATCTTTTTGTTTCTTTCCTTTGCCTTTAATTTTATAGCCTGTCTTAACTGATAGCCTTTAAATCTGACAGAAGGAATTATGTATGATAGTTTTTTTAGCTGATGGTGTTGTTCTTTCTCCTAACCTAGTTCTAACCACTCGTCATACAAGCCTGGTTGCTGTCAGATGGGCTTCTAAGAAAAGTGGGGGCAGCTCTAAAAACCTAGGAGGCCGCAGCCCGGGGAAACGCTATGGGTTCAAAAAAACCGAAGGTAGGTCTGAGTATCGTATTTGCATTTCATTGGGCTGTTCCCAGCTTCTCTCCCCTGATGTATGTCAGTTGCTGAGTGTCTCAGCAGGAGGTAGGCAGGGCACTTTTCCGGGAGAAAGAAGGGGAGGATCAGTGAAACCTCACGATCAAGGGTTGCTGGTGGGAGGGCAGGCTGAGTCAGCTCCCCCTCCCCACCATGAGCCCGCCGGCTGCCAGCCAAAATTGCCCACAGAAAATGTACTTTGGTTCTAACTTTGTCTCTCCGGAGGGCCCAGGAGGAGGGAACTCTGTGGGACACCTCATAACTGCGCTGCACTTTCCCCCCACACTGGGTGGAAAAACCGAGCATTTCCATTGTTTACAAAGGAGAGAATTAGAAAGCTTAGCAGAAGTCAAAGTGCAGATTCTTGCAGTTGAGTGCTTAATAATTACTAGCTTTTCTGATGGAAACATATCAATGTAAATGTAATTAAACAAATGCCTTCAGCAGCCAGAAAATGCCTTGTACCCTAGAAGCAGTCTTTTCAGAAATTTGACTTTTTGCCATGGTCTATCCATTGTCCATTTATTTCCTGCTAACAGCATTTTTGTTCAGATGCTTTTAACATTTGAAGTATTTTTTCCTTAGAAAATGCCTACAGAAGGCTGGGATTTGTAAGTCCTGGAATAATTTGTGTTGTTCCAGGGCTCTGGAAGCTCTTGGTCTGCAGTCTGACAGTGTCACTCTGTTGCAGGTGCATTTGTCCATGCAGGAAACATTTTGGCTACGCAGCGGTTGATCCGCTGGCATCCCGGCGCTCACGTAAGGCTTTTTCTCTCTCTTTGGTTCTCGGAGAACAGCAGTCCCCCCCAGAGTCCCACACTCACTGCCTCCTCTCTTTCAGTCTCATTCTTAATGCTCATCCATGTCTTCTGTGGTATTAGTCATAGAGCCTGCTCAGAGCCTCACCTGTGCTCGTGGCACTCAGGGAAGGTCTGCAAGTAATTAATACCCCAATACACTTCTGTGACCTGACTGGGCACTTGTGCTTCAAGGTGGCATGGTGTCTCATGTCTCATACTGAGTACCATTGCAAACTGGTTGCTGGAAGCAAGTTGTGTGGTTTTATTTTAAAAAATAAAAGCAACAGATGCTGTTGAAGCCAGGATATCAAACAAGGCAGACCAGTAATCAGATCTGCTTTAGTTGTGGATTTCCAGCCTCTCCTTTCTAATGTTCCTCATCCTCTCCCAGGTGGGGATGGGTCGAAACAAGACACTCTATGCCCTGGAGGATGGGACTGTGAGATACACCAAAGAGGTCTATGTGCCCCCACCCCGCAGCAGCGAGAGCAGGGATGTGATCTGCCAGCTGCCCAAAGGAGCAGTCCTTTATAAAACTTTTATCAGTGTTGTCCCTACCACAGAGGTAGGAAGCTTCAGACTTGTCACCATGCTGTGAACCTGCTGTGTCATGTGGGCACAGATGGAAAGGACAGACCACTACAGCTATACTGGCATCTGAGGACAAGACTGGCTCTGAAGATACTGTTTTAGGACTTGGTTTTGTTCCTGAAGTGCTTGTGATCTGTGTTCAGGCACTGAGATCACCTGCTGGCATTTTTAAGAGTGTTTAATAAATGCTGTGGGGCAACTGAAGGTCTTGTCTACTCATGGAATGTGTTACCATGGTCGTGTAGTATCTGGAGAGCCTGGTCTGTTGTGCCATTGGATGAATTCCCTCTACAATCACTCTTGTGTCAGTACTTGTCCTGCTAATAATTCCCTCTGGTTTTGCTCATTTTTAGTAATTACTGTTCTATTTGTACCTTAATTCACAATACTGCAGAACAGATCCTTTTCCACATGCACCTATGTGTACCCAGAAGCTTGATTTTTCCCTCTAACTCACTCACCTCAATGATTAACTTAAATATCTGAGTGTTCCATTCACTGGCCATGCGAGGCAAATTCACGGCATAACTCTAACTCATTACTGAGTTCAGGGGGCCTGGCAAGATGCCCAAATTTGGGCTACTATTTGAAGCCTCAGCAGCTGGAGGTGTGTGATAAAGCATTATCCAGGATACTCATCCTTTTATCTTTGATTCATTATGTGACATTTTTGAGCTTGTATTGCTCAAAATAAAGGAGCCTCAATGTATTGTGCCCAAACTGATCTCATTTTATCTACAGGTTTGTAAACAATTTGAAACATTGACTGCAGTAGAAAACAGGTTATCAAAATTAGTAGTGTAAGGACACTGGTGTTGACATTATTTGGACAATTCTTCTGCTCTGCAGAAGACCGAGTGAACTGGGTCAGCCACACATGCCCACCTGTGTTTCACAGTCTTCCTGTAGACCTCCAGCTGTTCAGTCCATGCATCTGTCCTTTCCCAGCCTGCAAATCCAGTCCTGTGGTTTATCTTGGTGGTCCATATTTGGGTGTAACCCCTGGAGCCTCTCCAGATCCATGTGTGGGCTCTGTACAGAACCACTGTCAGTCACAGAGGCTGTTGGTGCCAGAGCACATAGAATGCTCCAAAGCACATCCCTTCTGTCACTCAGAGGTGAGGATTTCCACCTGGCAGGCAATACAGATACAGTAAAACACTTGATAACCTAAGAAACAGGTGAAGCAGCACAATACCACCAGTGCCTGAGGTCTGATCCTTTGTAGAGCCAGCAGTGCTGCCTCTCAGAGATCTGAAATGCTGCTCCTGAGGAGCTCGGGCCTAGCAGATCTTCCCCTTGGCTTTGCCCTGTGCAGCTCCAGCAGCTAGACCTTTGCCTTTGGTGTTTGCCAGAGTGAGCAGATGTCCCTGGTTCCTCTGCTCAGTGCAGTACCCAGCAGTGGCTCTGTGGTTGTTCTTGTGCTGCAAGAGGGATGTCACTGATGGCTGGGTTGGTCTTGCCTATGTTTCAGCTGATTGTGGATCTGGGTGAAGGTTTGGCCATTCACTGTGGAGGAAAATGGTATCCCAGGCACTTGTGTTGCTGACAGCACGGGAAGCAGCAGTACACTGAAGCCAAGGCCTTACACCACAGTGTTCCGCTGAGTTTGGTAGCTGAGGGGGGCATGGAAAGGGTGTGGAACACTGTGTCTGTCCAAGGTCTCTGAGCTTATTCCTGTTCCTGAGAAAGCTGGAGGATGCCTCAGAGCATGCTCATAAGGAGGTGGCATCTATTGAGGAGAGAGGAAGAGCATTACAGCGGATCAGAAATAACCAGGAGATTATCCCACCTCTTCTTACAGAGCAGATTAAAAGGCTCACAACTGCCACTAGACTGAATTTAAACCCCCACAGTCCCCCAGTGCATTTAGCTGTAGGCTGGGGAACACCTGGAGATGAGAGCATCAGTCTGGAACATGGCACAAACCTGCTGAGAGACTGAGACACATTCTCCCCTCACACTCTGTGCCAGGTTCCTGCTTTTCCCTGTTCCCCTTCAAGGGCTTGGCAGAAGGCCAGAACAAAAGTGACTTTTTCTGGGAGAGGGCTGTAATTTGTTTTCCCTTGACTAAAGAAGAATTACTGGGATTTACACAAGTACCTACAAACCAGGTGTTGTACCCAGGTTTTGGCAGCAAGTCTCACTACACAGAGAGAGGAACCTCTAGGCTTGTCACATTTCTTTTGGCAGAGCTGGGCTGGCTTTCTCCCCACAGGTGATGGAAAGTGGCATGACGATGTTGTGGAAGAGCTTCCAATGCTGTTCCTCAACTACTTGTCTTCGGAGCTTTACTCTCCTGTGCCCTCAATGCCCAGGTTTCATAGAAATACAAAATGGTTTGGGTTGCAAGGGACCTTAAAGATCATCCAGGTCCAACCCCTGCATGGGCAGGGACACCTTCCACTGTATCAAGCTGGAACTTTCCAGGCAGGTGTCATTAGATACAGCTCCAAACACTGAGTGGCAAGGGCTAACTATGCCAGGCATTATGGTACAGCTTTAAGAGCTCAAAATGCAGGTAAATCAGTGAACTTTTAATGCTTTCCTCAGGGTTTCAGAAGTTTTTGTCCTGCTTTAGACAATGGTCTCTGAATGGGAGCATCTCAGGATGCTGCCACAGGACCTACTTGGCAGGATGCACTCACTTTTCCCTTTTACATTGTGGAAGTGCAAATCTTAAATATCATAACAAGCAAAACCTCCTGCTCATAAATAAGCCATAAACATTTCAGCGTAATAACAGGGGGTCTCCCCAGGAGTGTCCTGCAGGGAGATGGAAGCAAGAACCCATGAAAGCTTTAGAGATCCAAAAATAACACTCCCAGCCTGGACTTGTATGGGGCAGATGATGTGAAGAGCGTGCTCTTTCTCTGTGGGGCTCTGCCCTGCCTCCTGGTATAGGCATTTCTGCAAATGCGCTGGGGGAGGGGAAATGGATCATTAACCAGCACAGATGTACACCAAAGGATCTTCCTGATACACTTTGTGCTTTCCCAGAGATAAAAGCTATCAGGGAGGCAATCACAGAGCACAGAGTCCTCAGCTACCACCAGCTGATAGCTGAGGACACAGATATGAACCACAGTGGTGACTGCCACAGGCCTCTGCCTGCCCCCCACTGCAGGGAGGGGAGCTCACCTCCTGGGATGACTCTGCCCACAGCCCAAACCTGTCAGCAATCATCTGATGGATTTCCCTCTGGCGATCTTTCTTCCGCACGCTCTCGTAGCTGGGCAGGCGGGGCTGCTCCCAGGGCGGGAGCTGGTATGTGCTGGGGGGTCCGACACAGAAGAGCTCGTCTCCCTAGAAAGGTCCATCCCCAGAAAAGGGTCAGTGTGATGGTGGCTCTCATCACTAGAAGTTTATGTCCTGGTGCAACCTTGGGTTAATTGAGGGTTCAAAGCTGTAGGTAGTTGTAGGCTCCTCTGAACACCCAGAGAGGATACTCACGCTCCCAGGGGGCAGTTACACCGTGATCTGTGCTGCAGGACCCCAAGCCCCCAGGATCTACCACTGGCACTTCATGCACAAACACCTCAGGGCACTGTGGTATCCTCTGCAATATTTCTTCCCTCCACATGCTGCCTACCCCCGGGGTTTTTACATACTGGCAGCACTTCCCAAAGTTGTAAAGTAGCACCAGAAGGTGCTGCCACCACCTCTTGCCCCAGGCAAACTCCATATCCAGAGTGTCTCTCCAAGCCCATGGGCACCTTTGCTCTCAATCCCACACGGCTCCCAGCAGGGACCCTGCCATCACCTGCATGCCGGGGTTCTCAGCAGTGCTCTCCAGCCGTGAGGCTCCACGCTGCGGTGCCACCAGCTGCTGGCTGCTGCTGAAGTAGGACGGGGGGTGGTCCTGGAATGAGGATGACATGAGCAAAGCCAAAATCCCTCCCATCCTTCCCAGCAGAGAGCAGAGCTCCAGCAGCTCTCATGGGACAGCAGGACCCTAGCAGAGGAAGAGTTGCTCCTCTTGCCCATGTGGCTCCTGCAGCTCTTGCTGCTGTCAGCAGCCCCTGAACAGCTCCAGCACATCTTCCCTGGCAGCACAGGGTCTGCTCCGAGGGCTGGAGCCAGCTGGAACAGAGCACAGCCAGAGGGACAGGCTGGGCCCCGGGGTAGGGCTTCATTGAAAATCAGTGGAACCATCTCTTTTTGGGGTACAACAAAAAACAACCCAAGTATTCTGCTGGTGTAGATAAGAGCTCCATCACATGCTGAGGGTTACAGAATTTGTTAGTTCCTATCTGCTGAGCTTGTCATTTCAGGGTAATGCAGCAAGCAAATCTACAGGGCAATAGTTGTGTTGTTCCCAAGCTGTCTTGCTCCAGTTAAACTGGTTTCCCTGTCAAGGTGTTGAGCAACAGTGAGCAGAAATCCTGTTCACAGAGAATAGCCCCTCAAGCCGAGCCAGGACTTGAGCCATGGCTGTACCTTGCTCTCAGAAAACCCCATCTCTGCCAGCAGAAACCAGCCCAGAGACTCCCAGGGCAACCAGGGATGTGCAGGGAGGATTTACTTTTGCTTTTAGCAATCAAGGAATATTTGTTTTGGCCCTACAGTACAACTACAGAATCTGCAGGAAAACAGCACCCAACTGTTGGTTCAATAACTCATGAGCAAAACCAGTGTAGCTATTCCTGCTCAAAAGCTGCCTCACTACACACTACAATTGCTTCTCTTTTTCTGAAGGAAGTATTTTTTATGTTCCCTTTCCTTACATAATCCTTTGCATCCATCCTTCCTCACAGTCCTTTGCTAAAGGCAAGATGCCCGCTTGAGGTTTCCATCTCAGAGCTCAGGGAGCATCCCACACTGCCTCGGAGAGCAGCTCCACAGGGCAAGGGAGCACAGCAGCAGAGCCTGCTCCCAATGTGTACCATGGGCAGGCAACAGGAAGGGAGGGAAAGGAGTGGAGACAATCAGACAGGGATACCATCAGTGCAGTGTATTTCCACTGTGATTTCTGCTGGGGACATCCCAGCCTGTGCTGGACTACTACATTTGCCTTTCACAGCACTAGTCTCTCCACCCCTTGCTAGTGAGGCTGAATGTCTCCTAGGGACTCCTCTTCTCCTAGGGACTGCCAAGTGGTACTTGCAGCCCTCCCCTCAAAAGCCATCCTTGCAGCTCTGGAGGCTGAGCTTTCCCCAGGCAGTCACTGCCACAAAAGAAACGCCGGCTACACACACTGCTCT